CTTTACGTTCTTTAATGCAGGCCTTGTCATCGAGCACCTTTGACCGCGAAAAGAACTTTCAGAAACGCGTCTTGAAGCGTGAAATCTTCCTCAACGTTGGGCTATCTGCCCACCATTTTCTGATTATTAGAATCAAACTGCCAACCAGGACTAGTCGGTTATAGAGAAGTGGTCAGAAGAGGGCGCGTCCACAGTTTGGCCGTTATTGCCGGAGCATTAACGGCCAAACAAGCGCGTAATTTTTCAAATGAAGTCAAGGTCTTATGTTAGATTACGATGAGAATTGGTCTCCAAAGGTAGTGTGCCACCTCCACCCGAATATCACATCTTGTCAGTGTGAGAACGCTTATGAAGTTTATTTCGAACAGAGGCACCTGGCACCTGGTCAAGCCACAAAGCAACCAGACTTCTTGAAAAACTGATCGTCTAGCAAACTCCCAAGAAAGCTCAAAGCAAATCATCGAACTCATCGGCCCTATCGTGGGAGTTCGCAAAATATCAAACCACGAAGGTATGAGCTCTACAGGTGTGTGATGTGAAAGCCTTCTCCCGAATTCGCGCTTCCAGCAAACTCTGCTTCTAGCTCTTCGGGAGATCCCCTCGAGAGTAGTATACACCGTCTATGACAGATATCCCTATCGGAGGCCTTCCCTCAACGGTAATGATTAGGCATCGGCCCCAGTAGAAACCGCCAACCTGTTGCCCAATTGGGGCGTAATTCGCAACATCGTCCTGCTACGAAATCGGAAACGTGGCAGAAAAGCCGATTCGGTCCAAAGATTAAGTCTCAGTGCTGGGAAACCCCTGAGTCTACCAGCCCAGCCCAACACCAACTCATAAACATATCCAGTTTTTCGAAGCCTGGACAAAATTCGGAGTTCACTGGAAATATGCCTTTCAGAAAGTGAGTTTTCGCCGGTTGAACAACGCGATGCAGTCATTCTGCACGAAATGTTTCTGTGATGTGACTTGGACTTGCTCAGTCTTCAGTAGGGTAGTACTGATCAGCTGTAAAATATATCTGATGGTGTAGTTGTCACGTCGAATGGCTTCCTCGACCTGAGAGCTTCCCTTATGAGTCGCTCATATCAGCACTTCACTTTGGTAAACGTCCCTACATTTTTCCGTTTCCATTTTTTTGTTCGCCTTATTCTTTTCTCGTTGTGCTATGATTATTTTGTATACCTAAATCACATCCTGTGGCTTGTGTTCATTCTCTCATTACGAAAAAATCGGTTAGGGTATTTTTTATCGATTAGGGCAATTTTGTAAAATATATATATAACAATAATAACGCAATAAATATGGCATATTACAACATTGATAACACAACGGCAGAAAGTACGAGAAGTGCGAGTGAAAAAAGCGAAAACAGAGCAAATGGAGGTAGGGGAAAGGAAAAGCACCCGCACCTCGTTAAAATGAGGCGCAGCGTCGTGAGCTACGTGGCGCGAGTACGGACAGCGTGAGGAGCGCGCAAGTGTCCATGCTCTGGGTCCTCTTGCATTACTCATAGACTTGTGGTAGAGCATGGGGAAGTAGAAAGGAACACGTAAATGGATTAGGCGTCGTGAAATTGTGGCTCAGGCAATCGCAGCGTACATACACTCGAGATCCCTGAGATCGGGTAGGCGTGGCCGCATGTTTCAACTTATCCTTGCAGAGCGTTACCGTTCTGATGCGATATTTTCACCTCGACACAATCGTTGTCGTGTCTCTGTCCAACACAGAACAAGATGACAGTTGTCCCAGACTATAATATTCCACTAGTAACCAGTTCTTTACAGTGTTCGAATGCTCCGCCTACCCGATCTCAGGGATTTCGAGTACTAATGCGCAATATCTACTCCCGGACGTAAGTTGGTAGTGACCGCTAGCAGAACTTTGGATCGATTACTGCGCATTGCTTTCTAGCCCCCTCGCAACGCTGATGGTAGTTGGTGGACGCTGGAGGCAACTGGTAGACGCTATCGCACAGTAAGCAGTAAGCAGTGACGCAGCGTTAACGAACAATTCAAGGACAATTCGTCCAATGACGGGAACTGCTGGTGGCTCTTTTTGCCCATCTTGCAACGACCCCGACTGATTGCGGTGACAATCTTGTAATTTAAAAAAAAGTGCAAGCTTTTGTAATTTTGTATTCTAACCAGGGCAGAGATGGGGTCGTATTCGGTTGCTGGGAAAGGGTGTCGTATTTGGGCTAAGAAAAAATTTTTGGTAGTTGATTTTTATTATTACAGGGACCTGTTAGGAGGGGAGGTCGTACTTCACTTCTGGTCTTCTGTAAGGTTTGGAGAGGTCGCTGACTATTCATGGTCTTCCCTCCTTCATGGTAGTACACACCCCCTCCCGCCCCACGCTCGACAGCAAGTAAAACTTTGAGTAAAAGTGGAAATTTTCGACAAATTCCGGAGAAAGTGGTGGGTAGGATGGGGAAGGGGGGGGCGTGAGTCGTATCAGGCTTCTAAGAACAAGGGGAAGGTCGCACCTATCCCGTGAAACAAGGGGGGCCGTACAGACTCGACCCAAATCCTCAACCAATGATGTGTTCGGAGTAAAACCTCTGGTACTAACACGGATTCTATTCCAAGTTGAAATAATGACTTTTCAGTACTGAAAAGTTTCAATGATTTCCTTCGGAAAGCACTCAAGCTCATTTGCGGGAGTGTTTAGTCAGTGAATTCTAGAGAGACAGTTGAGAGTGCCTTCCGAGACTCATATCGCATGGACATTTTCAGTTTCATTTCCAGTTTGTTGAGCGCCCCTCCTCTTCAGAAAAAGTAGCGCACCAGTGAGGAAGAAACTATGGTAGAACCATCTCTCCGCCTATCGGACCAGTGTAGAATGCGTCTTGAGACGACGACTTCACCTCACACATTCTATTTTGCTTACGATTATCACTCTGAGCCGTTCGATATCGTTTTACTGCTGAAAAGAATAAAAATTAATAAAGCAGCATGATCGTTTTCATATTTCATCCTCCATTGTCTGGACATGGAGCTACATCCTTTGTTCTGTAGGCTTACATGATATACGCATATTCCAGGTATCGCGGATTCGCGATTTCCTTGATCGCTCCTCGGCAGATCATTCAAATCAGTCGCGGTGTGATCGCGCGCCAAAGTGCACTGTAAAAGGGCAAGCAAGGCTCAGTGAGCCCAGTCTCTTCCTCGATTCTTGTTGGTAACTATTTCTTGCGATTTCCCCCCTGTTCTCTCTCTATCTCCTACTACTCTTGCGAAATATGCGAGCTTTCAAAGAACTGTTTGCACGTTGCGATTATGCGACCATATTGAAGACTTAATTTGACGTTTGCGATGATGCGGTTGTAATGCTATTGTTGTTTCCTCATATATCTTCCGGTATTTTGAAGCTTTATCTTATATTGAGGTTCCGTTAAGCTTACTGCTTATTGTTATGTCGATCTCACCGCTAATCGTTAGTTGTTAATCTTGTTGTTTATTGATGAACTTGATAAACGTTTGATGACTCAAGTTCAGAGGCCGCACATCGAGCTTTGAGCTGAGTTGCGTCCGCCTATTATCCAATACACGTTTACGTTAGAAGGGTAATGTACAAGTTATCGTATATCCGTTTGACGAACGCGTGCTTAAAGAATTCACACACTTTCGACATCCTAGTCGATTGGGTGATCGGGGCTATTCGACATTGTCTTGGAAATAATATCAATTTAGCCTCGATTGGTCGGCATGCAAAGATATCTGTTTGCGCGATCACCAAATAGTGTTTAACAGCAAGGACATTTCTGAGCTTGGAGCCGAAGAATGCGATCACTGTCGCAAAAGCGACTGTAACCTTTTAATTCTCAAGTTGTCAAGTTATATTGCGTTGTATTTGTAATTTTTGTGTTATGTTCTGCATATTCACTCGATCATATGAAGTTTAGTTCAGATTTGTTCAATTAAGCCAGCTGAAACAGTTTGATCGCGGCAGATCATTCGAACGATCCACACATCGATCTGGGGAACATGGCCTATAAAAGGACAAGCGGACGCGGTTCTGCACTTTCGCTCCTTCGACTTTTGCTCACTCGTCTTCGCTCCCTTTGCTCCTCAGAGCACATCTCATCGATTAGCTGGCATAAACTGTTCAAGTCACGGTTCTCTTCTTGTACCAACTCAAGTCCACCGATCAATCGCTCAAGTTTGGTGTCAAGTTTCAAGTTCAAGTTAACCGCGTGGCTGGATTTCAGTTATCCATACGGCGAGCCCCAACACTCAAGCATCAACCTTGCGCGATAATCACATTCAATGCCTGGTTATCATGCCTGGGAGACCTTAAGACGAAATGTGGATTGAATGTAGACCGCGGACTTCTCACCAAAGGGTTTATTGGATAAAGCCATCGAAATCATGAATGACCCACGCCGACATCAATTCTCACGGACCGCTCCTGATGATTTCATGAACTATGCTGAGGCATTTCATGCCTCTCACATCGTCTATGTTTGGAAGACCAACGTGACACTTGGTCACGAAACCGATTATCCGTATTTAAAAAACTGGTACATAGAACATTTCTTCGCTACACCCTTCCTCCTCGCTGAGTGGGGAAAATGTTGGGTTGAATCGACATATGAGTACAAACAACTGATCGAGTACTGGTTCATCGATGCGTCAGACGACCACAGCACACTGAATTGAAAACGAGGATTCGAACTCGATATTCGTGCGCTCACATACCTTAAACGACTTGAAGCAAACGAATTGGCCTACCTGTTCATATGGAGAGCTCTTCTTTCGAACGGTACATGGCAACCCAGAACAGTCAGGAAGGCGATTGTTAAAGTGGGCTATGCTTGCTCAGTATGTCTCTGCTATGCGTGTCAGCGTAAGGCTGAAAATACTAAAGTTGCGAGCCTAAAACAGAGATTACGCACGCCGCCGATGACATCAGCAGCGAAGCAATGACAGACAGAGATCGACCGAAATACAAACTTAATTGCTGCAGACATCGCACTATTATCGAGTAAGTTACTAATGTCCAAGTTGCTCCGGCGGCTTCGCGACCGTGGTGGTCACATAGGCACCTCACGAAGACGTGAGGCAGGTTGGATGGAAATCTACCAAGGTCTGGTAGATGATAATCGCTTCTCGAATGTCTCTGTAAATATGTGTAAAGGTGAATAACTCACCATTAGAATGAGAGCCTCGAAGACATCGTGAAGTGTGGTACCAACGGAGGGGGAATATTTTGTTTTCACGCCAGAAGGTTGCGTGATGGGCTGGACTGGGTGTAATGACACCATACTGCATGCAACTGTAGTTTCTTATTGTGTTAACAGGGCCAGAGAGTTGGAGTGTTGATAGTCTGATGAAAGTGGGCACGATCGCTTGAAGCAGACCGGAGTCGACGACTCGTTTTGTGCTTTAGACTAAGGAAAGAAGATGAAGAATTGTTGTCGCGAGTTTTGCGCGATTCCTGGCAGGTTGTTGTGGTCGATACGTATTCAAATTTAGGATTTGAGACAGATCGTACAAAGACAATAGTATCAAGCATCACGATGACATTCCTCAACCGAGTTTTCACACGCAGTGTTGAAGTTCTATTCCTCAGCAAAAGTTGCTGCTAAAATAGACAGGGAGATTAAAGAAGAGTGTTCCAAAGAAGAACGCCTCCACCGACAAACGACTCGGGAGTAGACGCACGACACAATGAAGACCATCTTGGACCCGAAGTTGCAATGCGACAACACGAGGAAAGTGGCCTTCACAAGAGAGAGAGAGAGAGAGAGAGAGAGAAGAGAGAGAGAGAGAGAGCTGTTCAGGAAGCTCTCGACATAGAGCGTCGAATATGGAGGTGGGTGACAGAGAGTTTGACCCTTCATAAAGTGCGAAAATAGCGAGTAATCCAGAATACCTGGAAGAAATCTACCAAGAAGACGAACCAAGAGCAGATGATGAGGCGATTTTGCGCGAAATGCAGGCACAGGAGCAAGAGCTAGAGGCGGTAAATCGTCGGCTTCGACAAGTGATGAAAAAAGAACTTTTCCAAGAAATTACGGAGCCAAACTGCACCGCATGGAAGTAGTGGCGATGGCTTGTGCGTTCTGCGGTGTAGAAGGCCACCGCTACTCCGACTCCTGTAGCCGTATTAGGACAGCTTTAGAGGCGAAAGATCTTGCGAGCACACAGGCCACACAGGCAATCAAACAGGTGCTTGGAATAGGAATGCGAACATGGATACTACTGCACGAAGTACATGAATCGTTGCCACAACTGCAACCAACAGGCCACATCAGCATCCTGTGACCTGCCCGAAGACATTTCAGGATAGAAGCGAAAAGCTACTATCACCTGACGGCCGACGACTATGCTAGCGAGAAATTGAAAGACTCACGTGGAGCCTGCTGAAGCGGGACCCTACGACTGCAATAACTGCGACATCTATCTAACTGGGCGGAGTATCGCGGATTCGCGATGTCCTTGATCGCTTCTCGGCAGATCATTCGAATCACTCTCGGCGTGATCGCGCCAAACCCTACTGAAGACTTGTTTTAACGTTTGCGATGATGCGGTTGTAATGCTATTGTTCTTTCCTCATATATCTCTGATCTTTAATTTATGTTATGGTTTTGTTAAGCTTTGCTGCTTATGGTTTTGTCGATCTCACCGCTATTGCGTTAGATGGTGTTGCGAGTGCTTCTGTTTAATTGATGAAATTAGTAACGCTTTAATCAACCCCAAGTCTGGGGGCGTACATCGAGCTTTGAGCTGAGTTGCAGCTATTATAAAATCTGAACCACCGATGAACCCAATTTTCCAGGGTACAAAATTGGATCACGGACATTTCAATTCGAAACTTTTCCTGAAGGTCCACCATCGTATAGCGTCAGCGAACATCAACTTGTTAGTTAAAACTAATGTTAGCACGAGCACAACATTTGTTGCGCTCGCTTCGGCTTAGATCGGGGTTACTTCGCTAGTTCGTTACTTACTTACTTTGTTGGTTTCTACAAAATGACTTGCTATACTGCGAAAGGCTTCAAGTGAGCGAGTGTATCCACAGAAAATGACAAAACTTCAAATATGTGATGTGCCCAAGCTCCGCTGTGTGCCATTTGGTACCCCTACCAAGCCGGAGTGACCTTTTGTTGTGTTCGCAGAAGCCTAAATCGGCACAATGTGGATGTTTGACCGCATAATGTTTTTCTATGTTGAATTTCATGTGAAGCGTAAGTTCATCCAACTATCAAGACAGAGTAAGTCGACTAAATCGCTTTTACAGATTTCGAGTTAAGGGGGGGGGAGGGCATTGCTTTCTGTCAGGTTTGTATTTTCGGTGATCTAGGCTTCGAGTACGGCAATTCGACGGAGAGTATCATTCCAAGATTAGATGGAAAGTTCGACTTCATAGTGAGTGTAGGTCAGTCCGCTTTTTCATGGATTGGTCGGTCGTAATTGCTTGTCTAGTAGACCGCGTGGCAGTGGTCTTGGAAAAAAGGATAGTCCCCTGACCATGAGGGCATAAATACAAAATTCATTTAGTTTATCACAATGGTATTCTTCTACGTATCCTAGCCCAAAAGGCGACTGACACTCATTTTGGGGACAATAAGGAAAATATTTCTCAAAGGGTATTGAAAAGTGAGTTTTCTGGGCAAACAAATTATCCATAGGGGGCACTACATTAAAAAGTGAATTTCATTGAGACTTTCCTGCCTATTTCTTCATACTACAGGGGAGGCAAAAAGTCGCTTTTTTCTTCCTTCTGGAGGAGGGCGGCCAGTGCGAGAGATCCTGCCACGCGCGACCGTGCTTCGGTGCCTGAGTTCAGCAAGATAGTTGATTTCTCCGCCACTGAAGACCACCCTGTTGAGCTCCGTTCAAACCGGGTAATTGAGGGGTTAAGGACAGGTGATGCGCTCAAATATTCTTCTTTAGGTACTCAGCTCCTCTCCATTCCAAGTAGGCGAGAGTTTTTCCAACGTCCACCGATTCATATTTTGGTGAACAAACCGGGCCGCCCGAACCTGTAAGCGTAACACAAAGTTTTCAAGAAGGTACAGGCGACGAAATGTGGGGAGGATATTCTTCTCGAGTTGGTCGATGTAACCGCCAACGCTCACGTTCAGTTCGGGGCCCACAAAGAGAATATCGGTCTTCCATTTCAGGCACGTCCGGTCCCCACCATCAACTGGCGCCTTGGCGACTGAGGTGAAGATGATGTCCTAGACCGTAGCGACGTTGACGGAGCTGCTTGATGTTAGGTCTTGTGCAGGTTGAACACACTGGTCTCCAGGTATCCGTGGGTGACTCCGCACTAGAAGTCCGCAGCTATTTGGTGGTGACATGAACTTCAAAGGTCTTCTCCAGTGAGGCTCAGACTGGAGATGACTTCATACTTTGGTTTACATGAAGGTGATTGGCGATAGCCTGCTCCCTCTTATCTAGGGACATTGTGGGTACCTCCCGCCCTGGTGCTCGTATTTACGTCCTCTGTCTGAGCTGCGAAAACTTTGCTGATATGTGACTCGGTCGAAAAGCCTTTTTGGCACTATTTACCCTTTACTGCCCCAGTCATCCGAAATCCGCCCGGTTCCTGACCGACTTTTTTCTCCGTGGGCAGAATTCGCTGAAAAGTTGGCTCCAGGGGTAGTTCGACCCGCTGAACACGAATATCGCATCCGCTTATCCCACCTACTGGCGCTCGCGCCACGGGCGCCGGCGCCAAAATACTCTGAAATACTAAACTCGCTGAAAGTTTGTCAACTAGGGTAAATTGACCTATGTGAACACGAATTTCACATTTATCTTGCATGAGAAATAGTATTCGCTCTTATTTGTGGCCCTAAAGAGGGCCGTTGGGTTAGTATTAATCGATTTCCGGAATTGGTAGAAGGCAGCCTAGCACGGATATAACCGTGCGACATGTTCGAAGAAGTTGAAGATGATTTCACTGGGTTTTCCAAATTCTCGACGCCATAGGAACTCTTTGATATAGTCAGAGTACCGCTTGGTGTTCAATCCGAACTTTTTCTTGGGAATCATCTTGAACTTCTGCACAAGGATTCGATGTTTTGGGTGTGTGCCCCAGTTAGAGGATCGACGAAATGGAGCATGTGGTTAACCGTCAGGTGGCTGCAGCCGGCTGGCAGTCGCGACAGCTGTGAGTACGCTTGAGTCCGAAATGATGGTAGTTCCCGGTCGAATGAACTTGAGGATGATGCTAGTGAGTGTGGCTGCATCGCGACGTTTTACAAGCACCATGGAGGCTCGACCTGTAGTGGCACGTCGAACGTAGAAGGTTTATTAGCGAATACCAACAGAATATGAACAGAAGAAGAACTATACCCGACCGTCGCTTGGAGTAGCAGAGTCGACAATGAGCAATACAATGCAAGTGAGGTACTAAGGAGATACTGGGGCTAATCTTATCAGCCACACATCCTATCTCCTCAACACGACCACTCCCTCTTTCATGCCACCGAACAGCCATTCCTTTCTACGCACACAAGTCTTCCGCGGTGTACTTCCTTCGTGTGACATTCGTTTCGTCAATCTCTACAGTGACTCCAGGCCCGCCAACAATGGGAGGGTTTTCCTTGTAATACTTGGAACAAATCTTCGTAAATACTGCTCTCAGTGGGTCAACATCTTCCGACTGACTCCGAGCTCGAAAGACTTCGTTCTAAAGGAGCCGAACTCACGCAGCCAGAAGTAAGTGATTGCGAAGATGGTAGCCTCTGGAAGTTTGGAATTGGCGAACAAGCTTTTTTGTGTCTGACGGAGGAGAGGTGGTTCGTTCCGCTGTTTCGTTCTAAACAATCACGCTGTTTACAAAAACCATAACCGTCGTCTTTGAAGTCGAAGCATGATGGCACCAGAACACTTGGGGCACATGGGTGTAACTTGTAGACCTAGTCTGCGCAACCATGCTCGGAATTCATGAGGATCCATTTTGAGCTTCTCAACTAGGTCGAGCCATTTGAAATCAGTCAGCTCCATCTCGCGGTTGCGGCGATGAAGTACGTTCAGAGCCATGAGAATAGCTAAATGAGGAGCAAAGGGGCTTCCCAAGTTAATAGGTCAGTTTTGAAGACGTCACCACGAGAAACACTCAATTCCCACACGATTCCGGGAAATCCCATTTCCCACGAGCTTGCGTGTGAAAGCTGGGCGAGCGCGGGATTTTCGAAGAAGCGTTGGTCATGCATTTTTCATGCAATATGGAAGTGGTATTCGTGATCAGGGGTCAAACTACCCCTGGGAGCAAGTTTTCAGCGAATTCGGTGATTTCGAGTATTTTGGCGCCGGCGCCCTTGGCGCGGGCGCCAGAGAAGTTATATATCATCTGATAGGAAACTTCTCGTAGTATAAGAATATCAAAAAAGCTTTGGTTGAGGATATAGTTTTTGTGAATTTTTTAGTCGTTGAAGTTGGAAGTGAAGTCGGCGAAAATTAGCATCTTCGACAACTGCCTCTATTTACGTCTACTCGAAGTGCTAAAATCGCTTAAGCTGCTCCATACATTCGGAAAAGGTTGAGGTAGAAGTCTCAGCAAGGGAATCTCAATAGGACGCTTTGGAACTAATTTCAAGAATTTCAAAGTTGGCAACCTTCACCTTGCCAATATTGGGCAGGCTCACGTCTGTTCCACCTGAAATTTCATGCTAATAGTTGAATTAATTGAATTTGAATTGATATTCTAATACTACGAGAAGTTTGCTATCAGATGATATATAACTTGCTTGCAAAACGTTTCACTTTTCGAACAAATTTTTCAATTGAAAAACCGCCATTACTTATTAGCCAACCTAATAGAAGTGTCTCTACCCATAGAATAGCTTGCAGTGTGGCTGTGGATGCTGGGCGTATCAGGAGCCCGGGTTTGGAAGCTGGCAAAGTAGGAGAACGGGTTCGCGCCGCGCAAAACCCTGATATGCCCCAGTATCTGTAGCGAGTGAGGCTGGATCTCTTTCAACTATTAGTATGTGGCTTTCTGCCGAACTTACCACGACTTCCATGCAGTTTCCCGTTCCTCCATAGGTTCTTTTACTGAAAAGTACCGACCCTATACGAAGGGCATTT